TTATCATATCTTGGTTCATATAGTTTGTATGGATATTCACAAAACGATAATATACAAGTGAAATTGTTTATCTTTTATACGTATACGGTTTGTCTTATAATAATGTATATTTGTATGTATGAAAACGAAGTTTTACAATAACATGTACTTGTACACACTGCTCAAATAATAAACAATCGTAAGCCTTGCCCATTGCAAAACTGTGCTTGTGTTTTGTGCTAAATAAGGTTAAGACAAGCATTTTCCATTAAATATAAAGCTGAGAATGTATAAAAATGAAAGAGTAATATTTAATCAAGGGAATAACAATTTTATCTTTTACAAAATCCCATATAGTGATAAGAAGGTTTATCAAGAGAAAATGAGTGAAGTATTCACTAAAGATGTAATTATGAACTTTTGTAAATCCATTGATGACATTAAAGTTGGGATCGATAATATTGTATCTAATTTTAGTACATGTCTAACTGATATTGGTAAGCATTTTCAAAAAAGGAAAAGTTTTAAGCTACCTTCATCACCAAAATGGTGCGATTTAGATTGTAAGATTTTTAAAAATCAAAAATATAAACTGTTAAGACAATATAGGAATTGTAGGTCTAACATAAATTTGCAAACATATCTTTTAAAACGAAATGAGTTTAAAAACAAGTGTAATTTGAAGATGCGAGACTGACAGCAAAAGTAAACGATCCTAAGTCATTTTGGTCAAAACTTAAATCTATGACTGGCAAGAAAAGTAGGACAGTGAACAATATTTCTACCCAGGAATGGATTGAACATTTTACAGGCCTCCTAAACCCTTATGAATGTGGTGAAAATACTGGTGAAAATTTAGAAATGATAAATGAAGAAATAGATAATGAGTTGATCAATACATTTTTAATTCTGAGATTACTGAAGATGAAAGAATGGCAGTTAAGCATATTAAAACTGGTAAAAAAACCAGGTCCTGATAATCTAATCCCAGAGTTTTTCATTTACGGTATAGATAGCTTTATGCATATACTTGTTAAACTGTTTAATCGACTATTTGCTACAGGCGAGTATCCAGAATCCTGGTGTGAGTCTATTATAACAACACTTCACAAAAAAGGGGATATAAACAATGTGGACAACTGTAGGGGTATAAGTTTACAAAATGTTTTAGGTAAAATATATTGTGGGATTCCGACAAATATATAGTAAAATTTCTGAAAATCAGAGTGGTTTTAAAGCAGGATACTCAACTGTGGATAATACATTTATTTTAAAATCTGTAACCGATAGACTAGTAAAAAATAAGAAACAAAAGATATTTAATGCATTCATTGATTTTCATAAATGTTTTGATACCATAAATAGACAAGTTCTTTGTAATGTACTTAGAAATGGGGGTGTCAGTAGAAAATTGTATATAGCTTTTCAAAGTATGTATAGAACCGTTAAAGCATGTATTAGATGTAACAATGAAAGAAATGATTATATATTAAGTTCCATAGGATTAAAACAAGGCTGTTTGGCAAGCCCGATTCTTTTCTCTTTCTATATAGATGAATGACAACATACTTTAGATGATAGTGGCATAAGAGGAATTCAATTACACCCGTCTGAGACACAACTTCTATCTTTAATGTTTGCAGATGATATTGTTCTCCTTTCTGATACAGTTTCTGGTTTTCAAAAACAGTTAGATACTTTGTCAATTTTTTGCAATACATATTAACTTAAAGTACATGAAAGTAAAACAAAAATAGTTGTTTTTAAAAATGGTGGTACATTATATAAAATTGAAAAATGGACTTATAAAAACAAGCAGATTGAAGTTGTTAATGCTTTTAGTTACGTTGGTTTAACATTTACAAGACAACTTTCTATGAAAAGAATGGTACATGAGTTGTGTATAAAGGGTAAGAGGGTTTTTATATCAATCTTAAAATCCTTGTATGATTGTGGCCAATTAAATAAGAAAGTATTTGTCCTCAGTTACTTTATGGGGCTGAAATTTGGGGCATGGGTAAATTTGAAGAGCTAAAAACGAGTTCAATATTATGTATGCAAACGCTTTATGTGTTGTAAACAAAATGCATCCAATGTAGCTGTATTAGGCGACTGCGGGAGGTATCCCATGTATTTAATATCCATTAAGAGGTGTATTAACTATTGGTTAAAAATTATTAAAATGCCAAACGATAGATTAGTTAAAAAGTGTTACTTAATGATGTTTAATGATGATATACAGGTAACATCTTTAAGAAAATTTTTACAAAGTCATGGTTTTGGATATGTATGGGAAAGTCAATCCGTTACATCAGAAAAATACTTTATAGCACAATTTGAAAATAGGTTAAAAGATATATACCGACAAGAGTGGCATTCATCTGTAACCTCTAATGTAAAATTGTCTTTTTATGGTATGTTTAAGGAAAATTTTTCATATGAATGTTACTAAGATGTTCTAGACATTAGAAAATTAAGATATATATACTCAAATTTTAGAATAGGGTCACATGATCTTGAAATGAGGTTGGTAGACATAAAAAGATATTGAGGGAAAACAGATTATGCACAAAATGTTCTAAGAATGTAATAGAAGACGAATTTCATTTTCTACTATGTTGTGATTTTTATTCAGAACTTAGAAAATTATATCTACCGGTTAAGTACCTAAATGCACCAACCCGAAACAAATTTGATATATTAATGTCTACAAAAAAATGATGATCTTATAAAGGGTACAGCAACATTTTTGTATTACGCTTTTGAAAAAAGGAAGTTAAACAATTAATATGTCTTCGATACAAAATGATAATTAAGAAAGTCCCAGAATTTTTTATGCTTTAAAGTTATTTTCGGTTAAATTTATATAGTATATGTTTAAACATTGTGCACATGCTATAATTTTGTGGAAATTGTTTCTCTGTATATACATGTATGTTTTTGCATGGGCCGGAGGCCTTAAAGCGAATAAAGTATTTGTATTGTATTGTATATAATAAAATAAAAAATCAGATAATTTAAATAGTATATGAAACATGTATAAAATATATACAAGAACAGAACAGAAATTTTATTAAGACTTGCCAACACTATAAAGTGTTGAGAATTGAGTACCGCTCAAGCCGGTGCTAGGGGGCGAGAGGGATGTTGCACTTATTCATTATCCCTCATGTACAGACTCAATCAAACCGAGTCTGCAATTCTTATGTTATTTTGTTGTGATTAATGCTTCCGAGGGATCACTTTGTTTCCAGAATTTTGTACAAAGTACATCATCTACAATACATTATATTCACATATATTTTAGCTGCATGAAAATTTACAAACAAAATCTGGATATCACATTTTACGTATTCAATAGTTTAATAATAAAATATAAGTAGATAAACCAATAAACAAACAAACAACATGCTATGAAAAAAGATGTGCATTTTCTGTATATTTTTAAAAATAAATAATATTAATTATGAATATTTTTGGCATGGAAACAAATCATTTGGAGAATGAACATTGATTCAATTCAGACATTATTAGTTAAAAGTGTATACCTAATGGAAAGAGCTTCTTTAACAAATTTTGATAAACGTACAAGCTCATTTTTATTTTTTGAGTTTAACATTCGAGTAAATTTGTATACTGATGGATTTCTGTAATAGTAAGTTTTTAAGTGTTGTTTTCTTATAACGTCATAGCATTTACATATACAAATAAAATGGTATTCATCTTCAATATCTAGATTATTGCAACACAAACAATATCTTTCTTCGCGACGAATCCTATTTCTACTAAATCTACCTGTTTGAATTCTAAGCGGAAGACCATTCATTCTTAATCTACAAAAATAAAATCTAAAACACCTAGGTAGTATATTAAGATAACATTCATATTCAAAACAAGATTTAATATTTCTATATATACATAAAACAGGACTTTTTTCAAGATTACTGAACCATTCTTGCTTGAAGGAATCAATAAGGCGACATTTAAATTCTGATAAAAACATAACCTTGTCTATGTTGTTACAATTATCAAAAATGTATGAAAATCCATTAGTATTTAAAATATTTTTAACATTAGAAACCCAATTTGTCTGCCCTTTATTGTTATCTTCAAGTGCTTGAGTATAAACTGTTTTTAATATTATATTGTCTGTATTTACAAGTTTTAACCAGAATTTAATAATTCTTACATATCTATGAATATATAATGGATATCTTCCAAGTTCCCCATATACACTAGTATTACATGTATTTAATCTAACTTTTAACAACCTTTTACAAAATTTTAAATGTATTCTTTCAATTTCCTTAGATTTAGAATAACCCCAAATTTCACATGAATAATTTAATATTGGTGAAACGAAGGCATCAAACAACTGACATAATGTTTTTGGACTAAGATAAAACTCTTTACATTTACATAACAGTATGTTCATTGATTTTAAAGCTTTCCCAATTAAATGTTCTTGATTTAGAATAAATTTACCAGTATAGTTAAAAATAGTACCTAGATAATTGAAATCATTAACAGCTTCGATTTCTTGGCCATCATAAGTCCAATGCTCAGATGCTAAAAGTGCACCCCTTTTTCGAAATACCATAATTTTTGTTTTTGAGGTATTAACTTTAAGGCCCCAAGTATTACAATAAGACAATAAGAGATTCAAAAGAGTTTGTATTTCATCTGGGTTTTTACCTATGATAGCCATGTCAAGAAATAAGGCAGTTTTATAATACTTACAGGCAAAATAATTATGATTTCAATTTCGCGGAACGTTGCATGTTAACCAGAAATTAAATAGTTAAATAACCTTATCAACTACGTTATGCAGGCAGTCGGAATAATATTTCTATATTTGTGAGGTATATATCAAACTAATTGTCTAGTGATTACTTCTTTCACCCCTCCCCCAGGCTTTAAATGGTGAAAAAATGCACTTTGTAGACCGCACTTGTTTTCGTGTGAAGTGACATTAAGCTTATTTTGTCGATGTCGAGTTGAGGTTTAACTGACTATGTGCTGGAACCTTCTTGTTGCGTTCCAATGTAGTCTATTTCTACTTACCTGTGCCGCATATACTCTTAGACTTTGTGGTGCTTTGTCGCTTTGAGGTATTTTTTGTTCTTTGAGTTTTTTAATTGCTCATTGTATTTACTTGTAAAAGGAGGCATTTTTAGCGGTTTTTTTATCAAATCTATAATTCAGTCTTGTAGCCCCCCACAGTGTAGGTTTATTGAGTTAATTTACTTCATTTTAATGTACTCTTTATATTTTAAATTCCCTGTACTTCAAAGTTTTCAGTATAAAAACTTCATCGCCAGAAATTTTCAGTAAATCTGATCCGTACTCAAATCTTTTCGTACCTTTTCTACTGTTTTTAGATTTTTTTTGGAAATTCTTCTTTATTTTAGAAATAATAATGCTGCAAATTGTTTTTATTTAAAATATGTGTGTAAATTCAGAACAACTGTATCTTTGTATTTTGAAACCAAGTCATTTTTATACTTTCAGTCTTTTACCACTACACTTCACTTACGAATAAATGGTTAACTGACCAGCTCGTTGTTTTATGACTTATCCAAGACATGGGCCTGGCACAGTAAAAGAACTGTTGAAGAAAATTGCTACACTAATCCACATTTGTGATGATGTGTCCACATTTGTGAAGATTTGAGAATTATACAATTATGAATAATAGTGTAAAATGACATCTCGAATCAAAAAACATTCGGAAAAGGGCAAATCGATTTTTATGGAACAAATTGCCAAGTATAAAAGTGCTGTTTGCGTGACATGGGATGAAATAGATAACCTTAAGTACTATGAAATAGAAGGAAAGAACATAACTGAATTAAAAGAAAGAAAATATCATTTGACAAAAATAAATGATCATAGAAAGGAACTTGAAGCAGAATTTTCCAATTACCTTGAAAGGACCAACACAATTGAGAGCAATCTCGAACTCATTGAATTAAATAGAAAAATAAGAGATATTGATAACATTGTTGCCGAATTTCTATCGAAACTGAATAAAACATGTGGAGTTGATTTCAGCGACACCTGTTCCCAACGTTCAGTCATGTCTACGACATCTCGGGTATCGACAATCACGGTTAAGCTTGCCCAGGAGGCTGTAGCAAAAACGAAGGCAGATTTTGCCTTGAAAGAGGTTGCGATTATCAAGAAAGAGGCTGAATTAGCAGAAAAAGAAGCAATTGAAGAAGCTGTACGGAAAGCCGCTGCAGCTAGGAGAAAAACAGAATTGGAGGCAGAACTTATGTTACTAAAACGACAGGAGGAAGCCGAGACTGCAAAGGTCGCTTCTGAAATTTATGAAAACAGCTCAAGAGGATCAAATTCTTTGAAATTAGAAAAATCAATGTTAAGCACGAGTGAAAAAGTAAACAGGTACCTCTCTTCTCAAGAAAAACAGACACCTAATGAAATAAATCCATATGTAACTGTAGCAACTGAACCAGAGAAAAATAGTGTTGAAAATGACTTTGATGAAATGAAAGGTGGATCGTACCTCGTACCTCCAGAATTTGCTCCGCCTCCACCACCAATTATTCAAAATCAAAGTGTCAATGACCTTTCCAAATATCTATTAAAGAAAGAACTCCTGTTAAATCGACTTTATAAATATGACGAAAAACCAGAGAACTACCTGATGTGGAAAGCCAGTTTCCAGACTGTTATGACAGAATTAGAAGTTACTGCCTTTGAAGAGCTGGATCTTTTGATAAAATGGCTAGGTCCAGAATCTGCACGACAAGCTACCAGCATTAGGGCATCTTGTGTTGGCAGTTCAGATACAGCGAGAGAACGGATTTGGTCGCGTTTGGATGACAGATATGGTACTCCAGAACGCATTGAAGTATCTTTGAAACAACGCTTGGATGCCTTTCCTAAGATTGGAGTCAAAGATAACAAATTACTTTACAGCCTTTTCGATACTGTTGCTGAAATTAACTTCCTGAAAGAAAACCCAAGATACAAAGACATGTTGTCTTTCTACGACACTTCCTATGGTGTCTCACCAATTGTCGCGAAACTTCCAGGGCATCTGCAGGAAAGGTGGACAGTTAAAGCATCGGGTTACAAAATGACAAATAACGTATCATATCCACCTTTCAGTTTCTTCATGCAATTTCTAGATATCCAATGCAAAATGAAAAATGATCCAAGTTTCGTCTATGATTCATCAAATACGCCTTCCTACCCTAGACGTTCGCCAGGGGGTGTTAGAGTGAATAAACTAGACATAGGAAGTCACAGTGATAAAGGACAATTGGTAAAAAATCAAGAAAAATCTGCTCTCAAATGTCCAATCCATTCTTCGAACACACACCAGCTACAATCGTGTAGGGACTTCAGAAAGAAAAGTTTCCAGGACAAAAAGAAATGTCTTCGAGAATTCAACTTGTGTTACAGATGTTTTGAACCATATCATGGGAGATGCTCAAAGGTGTTTGTATGCAGTGACTGTCAAAGGAATCACCTTACAGCCATGCATATCAATTCTACAGCTGCACCAAAGGACGGCGGGGAGTCAGCGCAATCTCGACCGCCAGGATCAAACGCTTTATCTTCAGATGGTAGGGCCCCTCAAGTAGTAAACAACAGATGTACCATGCTTTGCGGGCATCCAGGGTTTAAAGGGAAATCATGCGCAAAAATTGTGTTGGTAGATGTTAAATGTGAGGAAACCGATTGTAGTGTTAAATGTTATGCAAACATAGACGATCAATCTATTAAAACTCTTGCAAGTCCAACTTTGCTTGATAAATTAAATATAAAGGGTCAGCTCTTTGAATTTTCTGTTAACACTTGCAATGGAGTGCAAGTAAAAACTGGGAGACGTTCAAAAAATTTAATTATAAGTGCAAACCACGGCAGTGGAAAATTCTTTGTTGATGAAATATTAGAATGCGAACTTCCGCAGAACAGAGAGGAAATCCCGACGCCAGAGGTGGCTTTGGCGTATGAACACCTTAAGGACATAGCCTCACATATCCCGCCTTTAGATCAGTCATGTAGCATGGACCTCCTCATTGGTCGTGATGTAATCGGAGCTCATCATATCGAAGAACAACGCCTAGGTGGCAGTAGCATGCCTTACGCTCACAAATTGCCACTTGGTTGGGTTATTGTAGGTGAAACGTGCCTCGGTGCTTCGCACATGACAAACTATATTAGTGTTAACAAAACATATATAGGTGACGATGGAAGGGCCTCTTTGTTGCCGCCCTGTCCAAGCATTTACCATGTGTCTGAAAAGGTAGACAGTGCTGACCTAGTTGATTGTGTTAAGAATAACTGTTCTAGTACCTACATTATTGACAATGGTAGACATACTCTGTTTAAACAATGTAATGAAACATGTACTCATGATCATAGCAAAATGTTTTGCTACGATTCTGTGTTCGCTTCTGATGTCCGTGACGATAAAGTGTCCTTGTCCATTGAAGACCGTACCTTTCTGTCCATAATGGACACTGAGTTCACCTTAGGCGCAGACAGTAAATGGTCTGCTCCCCTTCCCTTTAAGGAAAATCGACCAAAACTTCCCAACAACAAGGCCTTGGCACTTCAAAGAGCCAGATCCCTCAAGGTTAGCTTAAATAAAAACCCTATAAAGAAGCAGCATTTTGTAGAGTTCATGGGAAACCTGATAACCAGTGGTCATGCTGAACTTGCCCCATCGCTACCTAGTGGTAAAGAGTGTTGGTACCTACCTATCTTCGGGGTGTACCACCCCAAGAAGCCAGGGAAAATCCGTGTCGTGTTCGATTCGGCTGCTCAGTTTGAAGGGTTGTCTCTTAATTCTGTGTTACTTCAGGGTCCAGATCTGACAAACAGTCTCCTTGGTGTCCTACTTAGATTTCGTAAGGAACAAGTTGCGCTTTCAGTAGATATAGAACAGATGTTCTATTGTTTTAGTGTTAAAGAGTCTGATAGGGACTATCTCCGTTTTTTGTGGTTCGAAGATAACGATCCTTCAAAATCCCTAGTAGAATATCGCATGTGTAAGCATGTTTTCGGGAACAGTCCCTCCCCAGCAATAGCAAATTATGGTCTACATAAGTCGGTTGAGAGTGCTGACAATGATGTCAAAGAGTTTGTGAAGAAAGATTTTTACGTGGATGATGGTCTGACGTCTTGCCCTACAATTTCTGAAGCCAAAAGTTTGATTGAACGCACACAAAGTTCACTTGCAACTAAGGGTATACGGCTTCATAAGATATCTTCTAATGCTCTAGGTGTTATGAAGGGTTTGCCCCGAGATGATCTTTCGGCAGATTTGAAACGCTTAGACTTTGATCTGGAGAGTTTACCTATGCAACGTAGTTTAGGGCTCCAATGGGACTTAAATGCAGATTGTTTCTTGTTTAGTAGTCAAATACAGGGTAAGGCAGTGACAAAGAGAGGTGTACTCTCTACAATTCATAGTGTGTTTGATCCCATTGGCTTCTTGGCGCCCGTCATTATCAATGGAAGATTAATATTGAGAGATGTTGTTTCAGGCGCAACAGGCTGGGACGAACCTTTGCCCTCACATATTGAGACCAGGTGGTTGCATTGGTTGGGTAGTTTGACAGATTTGGAGGATTTAAAAATCTCTAGAAGTTTGTTTGATATTTCACTATCCAGTATGACAAATTTAGAGCTTCATACGTTTTCAGATTCATCAGAAAGGGCTATTGCAGCAGTAGTGTATCTTGTAGGATGTTCTAGTGATGGTGAGAAAAAGGCCAGTTTCATTATGGGTAAATCTAAGGTCGCTCCTTCGAAAGGCCATACCATTCCACGTTTGGAACTCTGTGCGGCAGTGTTAGGTACTGAGTTGTATTCTTTGGTATATGAAAACCTTGATACTGTCATTACGGCTTCTCATTTTTATACGGACAGCAAAGTAGTGCTAGGGTATATAGGAAACCAATCCCGTAGATTCTTTACATATGTGAGTAATAGAGTTCAGAAGATTAGGCGTGTTAGTACTCCTAGACAATGGAGGTATGTAGCTACAGACAAAAATCCAGCAGACATTGGTACCAGAGGAGCTAATCCTAAGGAGTTACAGGATAGTATCTGGTTGTCTGGCCCAGCTTTCTTGTGTAACAGTGAGCCCCCAATGATAAATGAGTTCTTTCCATTACTTGATCCTCATCTAGACAGTGAAGTACGCATGGAAGTATCTACCATGACGACTTCTGTATTCAAGAAAGCCAGCTTAGGCTGTGACCGTTTTGAACGCTTCTCTTCATGGAGTAGATTAGTGTTAGCTATGAGTATTCTTGTACACATTTTGTTTGCCTTTCAGAAGTCACTCATATGTAAAGGTTGGCATGTATGTTCAGTCTCTTACTCTGAAGAAAGTAAGAAAAGGGCAGCCTCTGTAGTGTTACGTGAAGTCCAGTATCGGCATTACAAGTCAGAGATTGATGCATTGACTGTTAAGAAATCTGTCGGTCTTAGTAGTAAATTAGCAAGTTTAGATCCAGGGCTTGACGGCGAAGGGTTGCTTCGTGTCGGTGGTCGTCTACGTGAAAGTGATCTCTCACTTGAGGAAAAACACCCTATTATTTTGCCATCCAATGATCATGTTAGTAAATTGATAGTGAGACATTATCATGAATTAGTATATCATCAGGGAAGATTGTTCACTCAAGGAGCTATAAGGCAGGCAGGGTATTGGATTGTTGGTAGTAAACGTGCAGTCTCATCCCTGATTTTTAACTGTGTCACTTGTAAAAAATTAAGAGGTAGGTTCGAAAACCAGAAGATGTCGGATTTACCTTCTGATAGGTTGGAGAAGGCGCCCTTTC